GGCCCGGGGGGGTCAAAAGGAGCCCCTGGTAAAAAAAAAAAAAAAAAAAAAAAAGCATGGCTGCTATTGTTATTATTATCCACATTCTTCCTTTTGGAAGAATTACATTACAGCTAATGTAATGGGGTATCTTGACCCCCAGAGGGTATGTGAGGGGACTTGGGGATTCTAGGAATGGCTGCCAGAGGGAGAGTGAGAAGGTACAGACTGGCAGGAAAATGTGGGTGCCCAAGCCTGACACCAGCTACCTCCCCTGCCCTGCCCTGCCCCCTGCAGTCCTGTCTAAGAACAGCAAGCCCATCCATACCACCATCCTCAACCCACATGTCCACGTGATTGGGGAGGACGCAGCTTGCATCGCCTACATCCGTCTCACCCAGTACATCGACGGGCAGGGTCGGCCTCGTACCAGCCAGTCAGAGGAGACCCGGGTGTGGCACCGCCGGGACGGCAAGTGGCTCAATGTCCACTATCATTGTTCAGGGGCCCCTGCTGCACCGCTGCAGTGAGCTCAGCCACAGGTACACCTATGGGGAAGGAGGGACTGGGGGTTGACCAGGGAGGTGGGTTCAGAGGAAAAGAAGGGTAGGAGCGGGCAGTCTGGGAAGAGGTATGGGCCATCCTAAAGGAATAGCAAAGACTGGGCAACGTAGTTGTAATAAGTTGTGCTTTTCAATCTAATAGATTCCAAATTTGGCACATGTTAGGTAGGTTTCCTCTTGCTGAGGAATGAGGCCTTAGGTTTCCTGAGTTGTCAAAAGGGGGGAAATGGTGCCTACCTCCATGAATTTGTGAGGATTAAGTAAGATACTATATATAAAGCACTTAGTAGGTGCTCAGATGCACGGCAATGCTATATTTAAACATTAACCTCTCCATTTCCCACCTGTTCAGACAGACTTGGCCATGTGGGTAGAGTGCTAAAATCCCAGAAACACATCTGTGTGCTCATGTGTCCTCTGTTCTGTTACCACCTTCTGTCCTGTTCGGCAGGGGCATTAGGAGATTCCAGCTGGAGGTCGAACCTTCGCAGCCAGTGGCTCTGGAGGGCCTGAGTGACAGCGGCAGTCCTGTTCGTTTGAGGTTTAAAACAATTAAATTACAAAGCGGCAGCAGCCAATGCACGCCCCTGCATGCAGCCCTCCCGCCCGCCCTTCGTGTCTGTCTCTGCTGTACCGAGGTGTTTTTTACATTTAAGAAAAAAAAGGAAAAAAAAAAGATTGTTTAAATTCGTACCATGATGCGTTTTAAAACCGATAGCCCTTGGGCTTGCAAGATGGCAGGAGTTTGTGTGATGCCCATCCAGGCATGAACAGCGGGCTCACCCACCAGCCCTGAAGAGATGAGCTCGGCCTCAGGCCCCCATGGACTCAGGGGGACCAGGCAAGGACTCTTGACAGAACTTTGGGGGCCCTGGTGTGATTGCAGCCCCTGAGGTGGCCTGCTTACCCAGGTCTAGGAGTGGACTTCTCCAGAACATGTATTGGCGCCTAGATTGAGACTGATGAAAACACTGTGGCTGTCAGAGCTACTTGGGAGAGCACTTAGAGCTGCCATCCTGCTGTGGAGGCAGCTGAGAAGCAGACGCCTCAGGACTGAGGGCCCAGACTTTGCCCTGCTGTTCCAGTTAGCATAGAAGGGAAGAGAATTGGTGCTGCAGCAGTGTGTCCGCTGTGAAGCCGATGAGAAACCTCATGTTAGTCTGACATGCACTCACTTACTCATCCATTTCTATAGGATGCACAGTGCACGTGGGCCCTGATACTGAGGCCTGATTCCTGCAGCTGGGAAGGGGGAGGGGTTGCTGCTTTGCATCCTGTTTGTTTTCTTAGCAAGGAGAGAGCCAGGCCCTCCCTTCACCACCTTTGGCAGTTCTGTTTCTGTGCTGATCTGGACCATCTTTGTCTTACATTTTCATGGTGGTGGTCCCCATGCTTACCCTCATCTGGCCCTGGGCCCTCTGCCAAGTGCCCCTGTGGGATGGGAGGAGTGAGGCAGTGGGATAAGAAGTGGTGGTTGTTTCTATGCATTTAGGCTGCCCTCAGGGCTGCCTCCCTTCCTCCTCTTCCCTTGCTGTGCATCCATCTCTTTCCCTGTCTTTGAGGTTGAACTGACTGCTTGGGTGAGAAGTGTCCTCTTGAAAGAGGCCTCTTTACTGACCAACTGAAGTATAGACTTTCTGCTGGACAGTCTGCATGGGCATCACCCCACACACACCTGCATGTACCCAAAAAAGGTGTCCAGAGCCAAGGCTCCTACATTCATTGCCCTTCTCTGTGCTCAAGGTGTTCCATTCCAGGAAGAAAAGATCTGTACCCTAAGCAGAAAACAGAAGATAAATGGAGGAGCAATTGGCCATAGCCTGGGTTTCCCCCCCAAACAACTGTGCATATCATCTGCACAAGTATCTGCACTGTGAGGGGAAAGGTGGGTAGATTTCAGTTCCCTGGACTACCTTCAGGAGGCACAGGAATTAGAAGAGGCTTTGGAACCAGCTGAGAAGAGAGCAAACTCATGGGTGCTGGTGCTTGGACTTAGCCAGGTTCCTCAAGCATCTCATGCATGCCTCAGACCTTGGACCCTAGCCCTCTCCTGCCCTGCAGCCTGCAGTGCCAGCTCACAGATCTTCACCACAGGGTTTGGTTTTGCTGGCTTGAAGACAAATGGTCATTGAGACCCATAGCTTCATATGGCTGCTCCAGCCCCACTTAGCATTCTTGAATACTCCTCTTTTGGGGCAAATGTCAGCATCTATAGACAATAGACTATTAAAAAACAAAATCACCTTTTAAACAGGAAATGGAAGGCATTTGATGCAGAATTTTTGCATGATGACATAGAAATAATTTAAAAATAGTGTTTGTTCTGAATGTTGGTAGACCCTTCATAGCTTTGTTACAATGAAACCTTGAAGATATTTAATAAAATAACCTTTAAACAGTCCATTGTGTTACTGTTTTTGGAGGCCAATGGCCAGGGGCTTGGATTTATTTTAACAGGTAGGCTGCAGATGGTCACAAACATCTTTTTCCGTACCCTTTGAAAAAAACTTGCTCATAAACCCAGATCTCTGGCTGCCTAGGGATGGCTAGGGAGGAAGTGGGCTCTTAAGGGCTGGGCTGGGCTGCCGCCCCGCCTCCATTAGCGTGGCTCCGCCCACAGGCCCGCCCCGTCGGGTGACCCGGCCCGCAGCGCAGGCCGGGCTCCCCCTCCGAGGGCCCAGTGGACGCGCCCAGGCCTGGCCCGCCCCTGCTCGCGGAGTGGCGGCGGCCGACGCTCGGCAGACCGTGCCACCCGGCGTGGAGGACGGGGTGCACTCCCGCGACCCGGGCGCTCAGCCTGCGCTTTGGGGAGCCGCGACTGTGCTGAGCGCTGCGGACGGCCCCTTCGCTCCCCGCCGGATCTCGGCCGCAGCGAACAGGCTCGGAGCCTGCGGGGACCCGGGCGGCCACCCCAGCCGCCGTACGCCGCCTCCCCCTCGGTGGGAGCGGGAGTTGGGCCCGGCTGCGGCGGAGCGTTCGCTCTGGAGATGGCAGAGCCGCCGCAACGCGGCCCGAGGCCCCGCGAGCAGGGAAGCCGGGCAGCCCCGGGGACAGCGGGGACGCCGCCCACTCCGCCGGGTGAGCCGCCCTTGAGCAGAGCCGCCTCCCGCCCGCGGTCGCCTTGAGTTCCTCCAGGCCGCCCGTGAGTGTCTCCGACGTGACCACCCGGTCCTCCCGGGCGGCCCTGCGCCCGCGCCCTGTGTCCCCGCCGCTGGCCTGCCTCAGTTGCCTCACGGCGGGTACCTGGCTCGCCTCACCGCTCTCGCTCTTCTCCCGGGGCTCCTCCAGCCAGTGCCTCGCCTGGGTGTCAGCGCCACCGTGCTGCGCCCCTGCCCCCTTCACGCCCCCACCTGTGGGTGCCTGGTCTCCACGGGCAACCTCTGTCTACTAGGCCAGGTCCCCACGCGGCACGCGTTCCTTCCACAGCAGCCGCTCTGCGGGTTTCCCAGGGGTGGGCCCACACCCCTGCCCCCCGCCCCTGTATTTGCTGTCCACTTTGACCCATGGCCCTGTGGGTTCTCCCTCCTCGGAAACTTCGCCCTGCCACACACAAGTTCCTCCTCCAGTATTTATCATCCTGCTCTACCCGCCTCCAGCACTCATACATCCCAGTAGTAGTTTTTCTCATGGCCTTGTCCCTAAACAGTGCTACTTCCTATAGGTTTGAAGCTTAAAAATGCAGTGGTTAAACAGCACTTGCTCTGGAGCTTGACAGGCCTGACCTTTGAATCCCAAGTTACTCCACTCATGGAGTTTTGTGATACTGGGAAGTTACTAAGCTTCTCTGGACCTCAGTTACTCATGAATAAAATGAGACTAATACTCGTACCTATGTTTTCCCTACCTCTTAGAGCTGTTATTAAATATAGATATTTCTTGATTTGCAATGAATGGGTTTACATCCTGATAAGCCTATCATAAGCTGAAGATATCCTGTATCAAAATGATTTAGTAAACCTAACCCACTAACCAGATACCTTATCAATAGCCTTTGCTGTGTAGTGTCAATTGCTTAACCTGATTGTGTGACCCACTGGGGGATTCCACTGCCCAGCATTACAAGAAAAGTATAGTACATATTGACTAGCCTGGGAAAAGATCAAAATTCCAGGGACTGGGGCTGTAGCTCAGGGGTAGAGCACTTACCTAGCAAGACCATGGATTCCATTCCTAGCACTGAAAACCAAACAACAAAACAGTTTGAAATACAGTTTATAATGAATGTTTATCTTTTGGACATTGTAATAAATTAAACCATTTTAAGTCTGGGACCATTTGTATATGTAAAGCTGTCAGAAGAACGTCAGGAAAGTAGTAAACACTCAACAAATAGTAACTTATGAACATAGGTGATACATTTTAAATATCAGCTTGCCCTAGGTGAGTTCTCACTACTGTGCTTTCCCTGAAGTTTCCTCTGATTCTTAGAATCGCCACATTGCAACCATCCACCTCTTTCTCTTGCTGGGATTGAACTCAGAGCCTCACCCATGCCAGTCGTGGGCTTTGCCACTCCAGCCTCTGGCAGTTTTTATCCTCACTCGAAGCTCTCTTTTACTGCTTGCTTGTTTGTTTTTGATTTTTAAGAGGGTCTCACCATGTAGCCCTAGCTGGTCTAGAACTCACTATGTAGGCCAACTCATAAAGATCTGCCTCCTCTGCTGGGATTAAAGATGTGCACTACCACACCCAGCTCTCCCAGGTCTCATGTCAAATTAGTTTTACCCAAGCCAAAGCTGAATTCTTCAATCACATCTCTCAATTCTGAAGGTGTCTTGTCTGTTTCTGCCTTATCACCACTAAGGTGTGCTTACTGGTGTGGGCAGTAGAGAGGAATTGCCAGCTACTGACTTTATTGGCAAAGAGTAACAGTAAAGCTTCCAGAAGCAGTCTGAGAAAAGCCCCCAGTTAGGTTTCCTTAAAACTGTTTTCTCATCACACTGCCCTTATTCTTTGTTTCATTATTTTGAGACAGGGTCTCACTATGTAGCCATGGCTGGCCTGCTGCTTGCTTTGTAGACCAGGATGGCCTTGAACTCACAGAGATCTACCTGACACTGCCCTTGTTCTTTATCATTGGTTGTGTAAGACTTGAGTTCCTGTTGCTGTCCTCTGCCCTTCAGTTTTCTCTGTGTCTATAACTGGACTTAATCCCTCATGTTTCTCCAGGCTAGCTCAGGGACCCTCCTGTGTTTTTCTGGCATGAGGGTGTAATAATACATTCGTTAATTTCGGAAGGCGAGCTAGAAGGGACAGGGAGAGAGTCTCTGGACCCAGCTTTCTGTCCCTTCTCAGGTGCTAGTCATGACATGGCCTGCTCTTAGGCTACATTTTTACCTTCTGATTCTGGCACAGGTGAAGTGAAGGGTATGGGATGGGTAATTATTCACAAACAATGGAAAAGAAAGTCTCCAGATTCTGGCTCAGAAATTAATAGACTGATAAGCTATCACCATTTTTCTTGAGTTCCCCCACCAAGTATCCTCATGACTGCAAGTTCGTTAATACTGTTGGGTATGATAATGGGTTTGATGTAGAAGATTAAGACTCAGGAGTTTCCTCCTATCTGATGTTTGGTTGGACCATGAGACTTCCATCTGTTCCTCATAGAAAGACCACCAGTGTTCCAGCTTCTTGCTCATTGGCCAACGCTCAGTCACAGGATAGGAACTGCTTTCAGAGCAGACCTATTTTCAGCCTCCTGGGCTGTTTGAACTGTGTGGATAGGTTCTTCCAGAATTTGAGTATAGTGCCCCAGCTTGAAAGCACAGGAGAATTTGGACATTCATTTGGGTATTCTAAGAAAAAGGACAAGTTATGGAGCCAAGGTATGGGACCTTCTGTGTTCTTCTATAGAAGCTTACGTTTTATTTTATCTTATTTATTTTTTTTACTTTATTTTGGTCTTTTTGAGACAGGGTCTCCCTGTAGCCCCAGCTGTCCTGGAACTTGCTATGTGGACCAGGCTGGCCTTGAACTCAAAAAGTTCTGCCTGCCTCTGCCTCCCAAGTGCTGAGGGTGGTGGCCTTTATTTTTTTAAAGAACAAATCTGGGTTGGGGAGATGGCTTAGTGGGTAAAGTGCTTGGTGTGCAGATTCCCAGCACCCACATAAAAGTCAGATGTGGTACCCAGTGGTACCTGTTCCCAATACACGAGGGAGTGAAGACAGGCAGATCTCAGATGCTTGCTGGCTAGCCATAAACAGTAGGCTCCAGGTTCAGTGAGAGAAACTGATCTCAAAAAATAAGGTGGAAAGTGATAGAGGACACCCAACATTGGCCACTGGCCTCCACATGTACAGGTGTGGGCACACAGAGAACAGATCAACTCGTAAGCATGAAGTAAGAGATAGGATAAGGAGAATGGATTAATGACAGACTTTCAAAGGAAGAAGTAATCTATCCATTTCTCTGTTTTACAGATCATGGGGCCAAGCTTTGTGACCTTTGCTGACTTCTGATGTAAGAAGCTCCATTAGTGCTGAGCTGAGGGAGCTAGACTTTTCAGCCTGAAGCATGGGCCATGGGGCCATGGTGACCTGAGACCAGTGGACTCTGTCCAGTTTCCCCCCTGCTGCTCCTTCTACCTTTCCTACCCTTACTGAAAGGAGCTGTGTCCATCTCTTCAGGGAACTGATCCTGAGGGAATCCCTTTCCCTACTTCCCTATTTTTCCACTCACCCAAGACAGTTCCAGCCTATAGAACTTCTATCTCCCATCCCCTGAGGTGGTCCCCATCCTCCCTCATTTCTCCCTCGCCATGCTCCAGCTGTGGAAGGTGGTACGCCCAGCTCGGCAGCTGGAACTGCACCGCCTCATACTGCTGCTGATTGGTTTCAGCCTTGTCTCCATGGGATTCCTGGCTTACTACGTGTCCACCAGCCCCAAGGCCAAGGAACCCTTGCCTCTGCCCTTGGGAGACTGCAGTAGCAGTGGGGCAGCTGGCCCTGGCCCTGCACAGCCTCCAGTCCCACCTCGGCCCCCCAGGCCTCCAGAAACAACTCGAACTGAACCTGTGGTTCTTGTGTTTGTAGAGAGTGCATACTCACAGCTGGGGCAGGAGATTGTAGCCATCTTGGAGTCCAGTCGTTTTCGTTATAGCACTGAGTTGGCACCTGGCCGAGGCGATATGCCCACATTGACTGACCATACCCGTGGACGCTATGTCCTGGTCATTTATGAGAACCTTCTCAAGTACGTCAACTTGGACGCCTGGAGTCGAGAACTGCTAGACCGGTACTGTGTGGAGTATGGTGTGGGCATCATTGGCTTTTTCCGAGCCCATGAGCATAGCCTACTCAGTGCCCAACTTAAGGGCTTTCCCCTTTTTCTACACTCAAATTTGGGGCTCCGAGACTACCAGGTGAATCCTTCTGCACCACTACTACATCTCACCCGTCCCAGCCGCTTGGAGCCAGGACCACTGCCTGGCGATGACTGGACCATCTTCCAGTCCAATCATAGCACATATGAACCAGTGCTTCTTGCCAGCCATCGGCCAGCCGAGCTCCCTGTACCAGGACCAGTGCTTCGTCGGGCCCGGCTCCCCACTGTGGTGCAGGACCTAGGGCTTCATGATGGTATACAGCGGGTGCTATTTGGCCATGGCCTTTCTTTCTGGCTCCACAAACTCATTTTCGTTGATGCTGTTGCATACCTCACTGGCAAGCGCCTCTGCCTGGACTTTGACCGCTACATCTTAGTAGACATCGATGACATCTTTGTGGGCAAAGAAGGTACCCGCATGAAGGTGGCTGATGTTGAGGTCAGTCTGTCTTTTCCCCTTAAATTTCTGTTAGAAATCATTTAAACTCTGACTTGTCAGACTTGCTTTGATTCTTAGCTTGTCATGTACATTTATAGGCAGAAAGAATGCTACTTACTACATGTTTCTTAGTCTGTTCTCTCTGGGTTTGGCATTTCCTACTATTCTTTACAGGCTCTGCTGACCACCCAGAACAAACTCAGGACCTTAGTCCCCAACTTTACCTTCAACCTGGGCTTCTCGGGCAAGTTCTACCATACTGGTGAGCTTATTCCCCTGTTCCTTTAGCATATCAATTTGTTCGATCTGTCTCTTCATTATTTACCCTTCATTATTTAAGTTGGAGAAAAGGGACAAAGTTTGGGGTCAGAGTGCAGCGAGGAGCTAGTGATGGTTTGGAATTAGTTTAGGTGGCTGGAGAGCACATTGGCAGTGAGACAAACAGAAAGCCTTGAGCAGGGGTCAGTAATGTCCAAAAGATGGAAGATGATCAAAGTTGTTATAAAATAAAGGGCACAGGGGCTAACTGGCTGTGGTCAGCGGTCAGTTTGTGATCATAGGGACAGAGGAGGAAGATGCAGGAGATGACATGCTGCTGAAGCACCGCAAAGAGTTCTGGTGGTTCCCCCACATGTGGAGCCACATGCAGCCACACCTGTTTCACAATCGCTCCGTGCTGGCTGACCAGATGAGGCTCAACAAACAGTTTGCTTTGGTGAGACCCTTGGATCTCTTCCCATACTTTATCCCAGAGATTATGCTTCCTTTTTAACCTCCCCTAAATGGGACCCCCTTTCCCTTCCCTTCCCTTTCCAGTTTTCTTTTTGTGAAGGCATTCCCCACCCTCTTTACCCTCTATTCCCCAAACCAAGTCCTGGTGAAAGTCTGTGCCATTCCCAGGAACATGGGATTCCCACGGATCTGGGGTATGCTGTGGCCCCCCACCACTCGGGTGTATACCCCATCCACACGCAGCTCTATGAGGCCTGGAAATCTGTGTGGGGCATCCAGGTGACCAGCACTGAGGAGTATCCCCATCTCCGCCCTGCCCGCTACCGCCGTGGCTTCATTCACAATGGCATCATGGTGAGGGACTACCACTACAAACTTCAATCAAACTTCCACATTTAGACAGCCTTCAGCCTGCATTGACTTATGGCTTGTCAACTGCCAGTCCAAGGCCAGCCACAAAATAGGGGGTAAAAATCATGATAATGTATATAGTAAGTTTTATTGCTGTAACTTCAGACTGGGCCTTCTATAAGCCCAGGGAATCCTGGTACCTCTTGTTTTTTGTCCTTCCTCTGCTTTCCATTTTACCTTTCACATCTCATCTATTCCTGTATTTTCTTTTCCTCCCAGGTGCTCCCCCGACAAACTTGTGGCCTCTTCACTCATACAATCTTCTATAATGAATATCCTGGAGGTTCTCGAGAACTAGACCGGAGCATCCGAGGTGGAGAGCTTTTTCTGACAGTGTTGCTTAATCCGGTAAGGTGCCAAGAAGAAGGGCTGGAAGATCAGAGAGCCAGAGTATTTTCAGGGTGGGGCCTTTACTCACCAAAGCTGATTCCAAGGTAGGGTAGCTTTCTAAGTCTGACATGCAGACATCCTCTTGCAGATCAGCATCTTTATGACCCATCTGTCTAACTATGGTAATGACCGGCTGGGCTTGTATACCTTTGAGAGTCTGGTGCGCTTCCTCCAGTGCTGGACACGACTGCGTCTACAGACCCTTCCTCCTGTCCCCCTTGCACGAAAGTACTTTGAACTTTTTCCTCAGGAGCGAAGCCCCCTTTGGCAGGTAAGGGTGGAGCTCAGGCCAACCAGAGATCTAAGGGGAGTCGTGGTTTAAGAGATTAGTCCTTATCAGATTCATGGCCTCACCTTCAGAATCCCTGTGATGACAAGAGGCACAAAGATATCTGGTCCAAGGAGAAAACCTGTGATCGACTCCCCAAGTTCCTCATTGTGGGACCCCAGAAGACAGGTAAATTATCAGTAGCCAATTTATCTTACCCTACCTTAAACCCAAAGGGTCCTTTCCCCTACCTATTCCTTATTAATCCAGTTTCTTTTATAAAAAATATTTTATTATTTTAATTTTTTATGTATGAGTATATTGCCTGCATGTATGTAAGTGCATCCATGCCATGCAGTGCCCAGAGGTCAGAAGAGTGTCAGATCCCCTGGAACTGGAGTTATGGATGGTTGTTAGCCACCATGTGGGTGCTGGTAACCAAATTCTGGGTCCTCTGCAAGAGCAGCCAGTGCTCTTAACCACTGAGCCACCTCTCCAGCCCCTACTCCAGTCTCTTGGGAAAAAGATTAATTATTTATTTATTCTTTCATTCATTATTTAATTATTGTGTGTATGTGTGTGCCTGTGCATGCATGTGCAGGACAACTTGCAAGAATCAATTCCATGTGAGTCCCAGGGATGAACTCAGATTGTTAGGCTGGGTGGCAAGTGCCTTAAATCCACCGAGCCACCTTGCCAGTCCTGAGTCAGGGATTCTTAATCCTAACTGTGTCTCACAATCATCTATAGAAGACTGGCTACTGCCCAGCTTGGGCAACATAGTAAGTTCTGGGCTAACCTGAGCTACAGAGTGAGACCTTGTTTCAAAAAACCAAAATAATAATCATCATCTGTAGAGGATTTAGGGGAGGGGATGGGTGGTTTTTCTTTGAGGGTTCTGAGGGTTGAACCCAGGGTCTTGCAGATATTACCACTGAGCTTAACCTCTAGGCCCCATCTGTGGAATTTGAATTTATTGTTTGAAGATTTACTTATTTTATGTGTATATGTATGAATATATAAGTATGTATGTGTGGAGCCCAAGGAAATTGGAAGAGGGCATCAGATCCCCTGGAGCTAGAAGTTGTGAGCCACCTGATATGGGTGCTGGGAACTGAACCCAGATCTTCTGTAGGAGCAGCAAATACTCTTAGCCACGGAACCATCTCTCTAACCCCAGAATTTTGTTTTTTATTTTGTTTTGTTTAGTTTTTTGAGATAAGATCTCATGTAGCCCAGACTGGCCTTGAATCCCTGATCTTCTTGCCTCGACATCCCAAGTGCTGGGATTCTATGTATGAGCCACCACATCCAGCTCCATCTGTAGCGTTTTTAAAAGATCTATAAATAAGGGTTGGGATTTGGCTCCATTGGTAGAGTGCTTGCTAAACATGCACAAAGCTCTGGGTTCAATCTCCAGCATAAAACTGGTGTGGTAGCACATGCCTGTAATCCCACTGGAGAGGTAGAGGGAGGAAGATCAGAAATTCAAGGTCATCCTTGGCTACATAGCAAGTTTGAGGCCAGCCTGGGCTGTAGGAGACCCTGTCTCAAAAAAAAACCCAAATCTATAAATAACCAGACTTGGTTGTACAAACCTGTAATCCCAGCAGTTTGGGAGGCTAAGACAGGAAGATACCATGTTCAAGGCCAGCCTTGGCTACAGAGTGTGTTCAAGGCAAGACTGAGCATTTTAGTGAGTCATTGTCTCAAATTTTAAAATGTGAAAAGAGGTCTGGGGACACAGCTCAGTGGTAGAGCATTTGCCTAGCATGTGTGAAGCCTTAGGTTCAATCCTCAAGAGTGGGGCAGAGGAAGGAATTCACAAGTAATGCTGATAAAGTGGAGAGTGAGAACACTGTTGAACTCCTTCCTCGCCTCTCAGGTTTCCTTCTCTCAGTGGTTTTACTGTTCACAGTATTTTCTTTCTTCCTTCAAACTCATGCTGTCCAGCTAGCTTTTGTCCTGCAACAGCCTGGTCTTTCTCTTCCACCTAGGCACCACAGCTATCCACTTCTTCCTGAGCCTGCACCCAGCTGTGACTAGCAGTTTTCCTAGCCCCAGCACCTTTGAAGAGATTCAGTTCTTCAGTGGCCCTAATTACCACAAGGGTATTGACTGGTGAGATTGGGACCCCTGGGACCCCTCTGAGTGTTGCTCAGAGGAACATTTCCTTCTCCAAAGCTAACCCTACTCCAGCTTCTGCCAACATACAGACATGTGGCCCCTTTCACTCTGAAAATTTCTCCTCTGTGCTTCTTTGTAGGTACATGGATTTCTTCCCTGTCCCTTCCAATGCCAGCACTGATTTCCTGTTTGAAAAAAGTGCCACCTACTTTGACTCAGAGGTTGTACCCCGGCGGGGAGCTGCCCTCCTGCCACGAGCCAAGATCATCACTGTGCTCACCAACCCTGCTGACAGGGCCTACTCTTGGTACCAGGTCTGCTTAAAGCTAGGGACACATTGGGCCTTAAGGGAGAGGTGGAGGAGGTTCTAGGTGCTCGAGAGATGGACAGGAATGACGATAGAGAAACCAAACTAGACACTTGCAGAGGGATTTGTACACCATCATCACCAGAACAAGAATAAGGACAGAATAATTTGTCAAATCATCATCTTCTCTTCCTCCTCTATCCTTTAGCATCAGCGAGCTCATGGAGACCCTGTTGCTCTGAATTACACCTTCTACCAAGTGATTTCAGCATCCTCTCAGGCTCCTCTGGTACTTCGCTCCCTGCAGAACCGCTGTCTTGTGCCTGGCTACTATTCTACCCATCTACAACGCTGGCTGACTTACTACCCCTCTGGACAGGTACAGTCTCCAAAAAGCCATTGCTAGGGTCCCCTTCCCTTCAGCCCAGACTTAGGAATCTAGAGGGAATACATCCCTGTCCCTCTAGTTGCTGATTGTGGATGGGCAGGAGCTTCGTGTCAATCCAGCAGCCTCAATGGAGAGCATCCAGAAGTTCCTGGGTATCACACCCTTTCTGAACTACACTCGGACCCTCAGGTGGGAGAGCATGGCCTAGGGAAAGGAATGTTTTGGGGGAAAGGGGGAAGTAGGTTGTTGTATTTGGAAAAGACATGTATCTCTGTGGGCTTGACAGAGTAGTTTGCATTTATGGGGCTTGAATTTCTTCGTGACACCTAACGGCCTGTTCCTTTGAGCAGGTTTGATGAAGATAAAGGATTTTGGTGCCAGGGACTTGAAGGTGGTAAGACGCGCTGTCTAGGGAAAAGCAAAGGCCGGAGATACCCAGACATGGACACAGAAGTAGGTGAAGCTTGGAGCAGGGTACCCTCTCCACCACTAGGATCTGATCTTGCCCCGCTCCTTACTGTTTTTCCTTTTGTGTTTTTCTTCATCAGTCCCGCCTTTTCCTTACGGACTTTTTTCGGAGCCATAACTTGGAGCTATCAAAGCTGCTGAGTCGGCTTGGCCAGCCCGTCCCCTCCTGGCTTCGGGAAGAACTACAGCATTCCAGTGTGGGCTGATGCCCCCTTCCTTCCTTCCTAAACCAGCAAAACCCTGCTGCTTCCCTGAAGGACACCTAAAGCAGGACCCACAAGGGGGATTAGTGTGGCTTGGCCCCTACCCCCTCTACCTCAGTGGCCCCCGGGACTAGAATGCCTGAAAAGGGAAGGATATCCCTTTCCTGTAGCTCTGGGGCCTAATAAAGGTACTAGGTACCTTTGACCCATGAACTTGCGGGAGGTTGGAAGAATAAGAGGGTCCAGAGGAATGTATTAATTCAATTTCTCTCTTCATTCCCAGAAATGTATCTATCTATACCTGGCTATGGGAGGGCCCTTTGCTGTGGCTCCTTTAGTCAGGCAGTGGGATCTACCTGTGGCCTGGCCTCCCTGATGTCATTCACATTGAATGGGGATGAGGTCAGACAGCTGCTCAGAGAACTGAGTATGAGCCCTAGCTGTGGGCTAGAAATGTCCTTAATAAACATCCTTATTTTTCAGTTTTGTCTGCTTTACTGTAGTGAGAAAGTGTAGAATACAGGAAGTATCAAACATCTTTCCCTAGTTTAGCTGCACAAAGAGAGAAAGATGGGAAAGACCCAGCCAAATAGAGTAAAAAAGGAGTTTATATATTTATAAATGCCAAATAAATACCAGAGGCCACCCAACGCTCCCTCCCAGAAAAGGCTGTCTCCCCCGGCCCTAGGCTTCTAAGGTCTGAGACATTTTGGCCCCAAGCTACAGCCCAAGAGCAGCTGCCAGTCTGGGCCACCAGAGAACTGAGTGGGGATGATCTGTCCAGCCAAGAGTCACTCCCTCTGTGTGAAGGGCCCCCATAGCCACAGGTCTGTGTCCCCATATAGGGCGCTAGAGGGGCCAGACTCAGGGGGAGAAGGTGGTCATCTCTAGAGAGACCCGCTGCCACAACTCCTTGGTCTGTTTGCTGCGTTTGAGGTTCTGCAGAATGTCGTTGAACTGCATCATGCCCATGGGTGTCAGGCAGAAGGCGCTGCGGGCACTGCGGATCGCATTCACAAAGTCGTCGTAGTCGGCAGGGGTCAGGTGAATTAAGCGGTGATGGATGTACTGAAGGATGAGTTGGAGGGAAATCTCAGTGCAAAGCACCCGACTAAGCCCATCCTCCCCAACATGCTGAGGGCTCGGGTCTGTGACTGCCCGGAAGGTGGTTCACCCTGATCCATACTTTCCGGGTTCTCACCTGCATGTATGCCTGCTGGCAGCGCTGCACCAGCTGGTGGAAGGCCGGGGCACGCAGGGGGTTGTGGGCATGAGTGGGGGTCAGCCGCTGCAGCGTCTCCATGACGATCTCCTGCAGCACAAACGGGCTCAGCACCCCCTTGGCTGCCCCCACACAGAACTGGTGCACGTAGTTCACTCCTGGGGGGCAGGGGGAGGGGCATGAGACGGGGGTGGCCACCTGTGCCCTAGGGACCCAACTTCTAGATCTCAGCTCTGGCCTGACAGAGAGCCTCCCACCACCCCAGGAGCTGAGGTAACCCTCCGCCCCCGCGCACGCACACATACCCGACCAAGGCCTCAACTCTGAGCAAGAGCTAGGAAGGAGGTCTGGGATAGGAAGGTAGGGGAAGCAGGTGGGGGGACATTGGTCCTGGGGAGAGGAGGTGTTACCCAGCTTTGCTGCCAGCCCCAGCAACCATTTGACATCATCAGTGTAGGGGGGGGAGCGGGAGAAGTTGTTGGGGTGATCATTGTGTGCCCGGCGACCCAGCATCTCCAGTGCCAGCATTCCTAGAAGATAAGGACAGGCACATGATAGGTATCTCCTCTACCCTCAACCCCAATCTGGTGCCTGACCCAGAGTAAACAAGAGCTAGTAGAGAGGGTACTCTCCCTTAGGTGGGAAGACAGAAAGTGACTTCCTCTCACCAACACGGTAAGCAGCATGCAGGTGGTGCAGGCTGTGTGGATTGACAGGTTGACTGTGCGTCTCCTCCTCGGGTGGTGGAAAACCCCCGCTCACCAGAGGGCTGGGCTGTGTGGTCAAAGCAGGCAGCGAGGCACCCTGGATGGCTGGAAATGTGGATGCTGGATGGACACTGCTCACTGGGGGTGAGACAAAAGCCATGTGAGACCTGAAGAGCCCAAAGACAGGTAAAGAAGATTCCCTCCCTACCTCCCATGCCCAGTGTACCTCCCTTCCATTCACCTGCTCCCTGTCCCCATAACTCACAGGCCACACTGGTGGGCAGTGGAAGCCCTGGCTCTGTGTGGTAGGGATGGACTGTGATGGGAGCCATGGAAGGGACAGGGAAAGACACAGCCGTGGCAGCAAGTGAGGGAGGAGTCACCGAGTAAGGGTACTGAGCCCCCAGGAATGCAGGATGCACACCCTAGAGACAGGAAGGAAGAGACAATCCCAAGACACCTTAGGATGTAGTTTTATCCATTTACCACCCAAATGACTATCCCTACATTTCTTGGGCTTGGTCTTCCACTTTCCTACCACCTCACCAGAACTTCTGAACAGCCCTAGTACTCTCCTGAAGTACCCTGTTCCAACACCTATAAACTAGTGTTCCACATGCCCCTACCTCCCGCAGAACAATGTTCTCACCTGTGGGTATGCAGAGCTGGGCACAGGGAAGACGGCAGGCCGGGGCATATGAGGCATAGGGTGGGCAGGGTGAGCTGGGTGGGTGAGGTACTGAGGGCTGCAGGGCAGGTGGGGCTGTAGAGCAGTGTAGGGGTGCAGGCCAGGGGAGTGACCATGCCCCAGTCCTGGACCCGGATATAAACTGGACCCCACTGAGATGACTGGAACCACTGTGGCTGCTGCTGTTACTGCTGCTGCTGCTACCGTGACAGGTTCAGTCCCTGGGGTCCCCCTGCTCTCGGGCAGCCCCCGCCCAGCCTCCCCAGCTGCCCTCATCCCACTGCCACTACAGCTTGTAGCCCCTTCACGGGCTGTGGATGAGCCGCCTGCTGTTTGCTCATATAGCCAAAACCACTGGTGAGCAACCTCAAACAACACTTCAGGGTATACACCCCCACCCTTAGCTGCCTCTTCCACTGCCATGCAGGCTTTCTCCAACATCAGGTTATCCTGGAAAGGAGGAGCACAGAACAATAAGGGAAAAGGGCTTAGGAAGATGTTTGATGACGCCCATGTCTCCCTCCAGTTGGCTGGTTGAGGGTGGGCATCAGAGGTCAGGGTCAGTGTTCATACTGTCAGAGCAGTGAGTACTTCATACAGAGACTGAACAAGTAATTGTTGACCAAGAGGAGTCAAAACCTAGATTATTCCCAAGTTCCAATACAATTTTTTTGTTGTTGTTGTCTTTTTAAGACAAGGTCTCCCTGTAGCCCCAGCTGGCCTGGAACTCACTATGTAGATCAGGCTGGCCTTGAACTCAGAGAGATCCACCTGCCTCTGCCTGGGAATAAAGTGTGCACCACCGCAGGGATATAAATTCCAATACAATTTAATCTGCCCCTCCCCATGCAAAGCTCATCATTTTTCTGAAGCCTTCCCTAAGTTTGCCAACCTGGATGATCATCTTGGCCCCTAAATGATAAGCCTCTATTTCCTCATCTGTGTAATAGAAATAAGCCTAGCCTACGGATCATAACAGGGTAAATATAATACACAGAATATAATGCAACACAGGATGAATATAAAGGATGAATGTAAATGCATATTACTGGGCTGAACATTTCTAATCTGAAAACTGAAAATACTAAAATCCAAAACTTTTTGAACACTAACATGATGCATTAAGTGGAAAATAGCATGAATCTTGCTTTCATGCACAAACAGGGCTGGGGATTATAGGTCAGTTGCTTGCCTAGTATGCATGGGGCCCTGGGTTCATTAAAATATATACATATATATATACACACATATACATATATAGATACATACAAGATTACCTCTAGATTATGTGTGTAAGGCATATATGAAATAAACATTTCACTTTAGATTGGGGTCCCATCCCCAAGATCTCATTATGTATAGGCAAATACTCCAGAAACTAAAATCCAAAACACTTCTAGTCCCAAACCTTACGATACTCAGCCCGTAATATATAAAATGTCAACACAAGAGGAAAAATCAGGTACTTCATAAACTCCTGGATATGAGAATCAAAGCCCCTATACTAGCATATGCCTATAGTCCCAGCTACTCCAAAAGCTAAAGCAGGATTCCAAGTTCAAGGCCAGCCTAGGCAACTTAATGAGGTCCCATCTCAAAAAGAAAGGGCCTTAAAGTTAGCCCATGCCCAGATGGCTGAGAGCAGGTTCCCAAAATGCATATAGAAATACCTGTTCCTTGCACTGCACCAAGGCCCGTTGGATTTCATTGGGGTTCAATGCATGGGCATGAGGCAGGCAGCTTAGAGCCAGCTCTGCCGCTGCCCTCACCATATTGGAGTCTCGTGCCCGTGATGCTCTATCAGCCAGAGATGCGACCTCAGGGGGCGTCAGGTGCCCATCCCAACACTCTACCAGTATAGTCAGGGCTGCACTGCCAATCTCCATTGCCTGCCCTTTGGGGACAAAGAAGAGAGCAGAGTGGGCACCACTGGGGGCTGGGGGTATCTTCATCAGATCACCAGTGACACAAAGAAATACCCTTCCAATTCACCCCCATCCTGTATACTAATCAGGACACTGGACTTACCTGTAATCCAGGAAACATGGGAAGAATAGGTACGTGAGAGCCAGTTGGGAGAAACAAAGTTGTGCAGGCCAAGGGCATAAAGCCCAATCTCAAAGGCGCAAAGGTGCAGGTTGCGGTGAGGACCCTGGTGGCCCCCTGAGGAAGATGGATGTGTAAAAATGGAAGTGCTGCTGTTGCCCCCTGCCTTGATCAGAACTGTCTTCGCCAACTCGAAGTAGAAGTGTGCAGCTGCCTCTGATGGTTGATTGGGTACGTGGGGGGCATGACTCTCCGGGCGGCGGCCCTTGTAACACCTGATGGGGAAATGGGATACAGAGGGGGTTGAGGTTTCTTCAAAATGGTCATCCAAACAGGTTAGGAAGGACCAGGATAAGTGAGGATGTTAGAGGATGATGGTTGGATCACACTTGGGATGTGGTTCTGAGGATGAGCTCAGTTAGGGAGATGGTTATTTCTTCCTACTCACCTGCCAACTTCAACTGTCTTTGCCCGGGCCCCTCCACTGGCACTAGCCCGACGACTTCCACTGGAGGATGAGGAGCCCAGGGAGTCAGAGGAAGAGCTGCTAATGCTGTCACTGTCTTGTCCTCGACCCCAGGAAGTGGGGGCCCAGCCACCTCGAAGTGGCCTTCGGCTTAAGGTAGGAGAGCTGTCCGACGTAGTTTCAGGAGCACTGCTGTCAATGCTGGCCATGCCTAATCTCCCAAAACAAGTCAGTCTCAGAGATTAGGAGTTCTGAAGCAGTCTCCAACCTTTCCTTCATGCCACCCAATGGGCTATCCTACCTGTGTGCTTTTTTTTAGGCCGCCCTGGGGAGCCCCATCCCCGTCCATTATA